TCCGAACCCTCGGGCGGGAGCGCCGCGCGCTTCCCAAGCGGCGCACTATCCAGTGCGCCACTGGGCCGGCCCAAAGCCACAAATTTTTAAAAAGTCGCACTTAACTATATCAATATAAAAATTGTTTGATAAAAGGAATTATAAACAAAGTTAAAAATTAAACATTAGAATAGGAAAAATATTTAAATCTTTAAAGTGAATAAATAAGCATATATCTAGGCAAGCAAGCTCCCGCATGAAGGACTTGGCTCTTTTCTCCTCTGTCCCAGTAATGCTCTTCCTAAATACCCAAATGGTCAAACCCCCTCTTCCTTCCAACACAATTTGAAATGTCACCTTCTCAGTGACATCTAAAATTTCTAATTCCTGCCTGCCCCCCCCATTCTCCAATGTTGGCAGCAGGTCTTCCCTTTGCCTTCAGGCAGGAGATCAAAGAGTCTTCTGCAGGGTGAAAGATCCAATTGACTGATGGGCAGGTCTCCAGCTAAATAAATCACACTGTGGGGTAAATGTCAACCCATCAACCTTACCCCTGGACCCAGAGACTCCACGCAGCTTTGAGCTGAACACTCCTAAATACCAGGAGACAGCCCAAGATCATCAGACAGCTGAGGAAAGGCTATAACATGAAAAAAAAAAAATAAAACAAACAAGGAAACCTAAAAAAGCAAAAAACACCTACGCAGGGAGAAGACGTCCAAAGAAACTTCAGTAATAACCCAAGACCAGACCCAGTGTTGAATGGATGTGTGTTCACAACACGGCACACTCACTCATGCCCAGGGAGCCATGATGCCCAACCAGGTGACTTCCAAAAGGTACAGAAGGGAATGAGACAGCGGTCAGGCCTCATGGCTTAGAATGTTTTATTAAAAATAAAATCTGAAGTAAATATGGTAAAATGTTAATGTGTTAAATTGGGGTGGTGAGTACATGGGTATTTATTGTTTTGTATGTACTTTTTTGTATGTTTGAAATTATTCCTAATAAGGAAGAAAATGAGATTTTTTCCCCATCTATCAGTTTGGCAAAAGTTAAAAAGAATGATAATATCCAGTATCATCAGGAATTTGGGAAATCAATCTCACACACTGTGGGGGAAACAGTCATTGGAAAAGCCTTTCTGGAGGGCAATATGGCAACACCGATCTGAATTTCACAAGTGCACAGTTTCTGAATTATTAATTCCGTTTAAAATAATCTACATTTTTTTTTTTTTTTTTTTTCTTTTGTCTTTTTCCGTGTCCGGCAACGGATCGCAACCCTCAGTGTTGCCCCCGCACCGGACCGGAGACCGGCAACGGGATTGCAACCCTCGGTGTTGCTCCCGCGCCTCGCTCAGCCAGTGAGCGGGAACCAGTCCGTATGTGGGATCCGAACCCTCGGGCGGGAGCGCCGCCGCGCTTCCCAAGCGGCGCACTTATCCAGTGCGCCACCGGGCCGGCCCTAAAATAATCTACATTTTGAGAAGCAGTACTCTTCAACTTTTGTCAACTCCTCCTCCTAATGAGTTGGAGCATTTTAAGCCATAAACAAACAAACAAACCAACAAACAACACACACAAAGCAAAATATAAACAATGCAAAGCAATTTTTCCTCGTTTCACTCACCAATGTTGTAAAGCGCTTCAGTGCAAGAGGAATCGTTCCTTAGAGCCTCTTTGTAGAATTCAGCTGCCTTCTCATAATCACCATTTGCAAAAATTGTGTTCCCTTTATTAGTAAGAGCTGATGGATTATATCTATCAGAGTTCACAGCTAAATCCGCATAGCTGCTGGCTTGTGCAAATTCATTTTCCTAAATAAAGTACAAAATATATACAAATTATATAAATTTCACCAAATATCTTTTCTGACTATTATGAGATTATAAACTTTATAAACAGACTTTCTGAAATTACAGACATGATGAACAAATACTTTATATATCTTGGGCTTGACAGGCTGATTCTACAAATGATTCTTAATCATCAAGCTCAACTACCCAAGCTTCTTATGACTGACTTCTCCACAGTCTCATGGTTTGAATAACAACACTATTTATATATAGGTGGTTCCACATTCAATGCCCAAATTCCATGTCATCATTTGCTGCAATGCTCCCCTTCCCACCTGAAACCCTGAAATAGCATCACTGTCCTCCCTGCCCCTAGCACACTGGCTGCATCACCTACGAGGGCTATGCCCTTTCAGCAACCCACCGTTTTCTCTCTTCACCACCAAATGCTTTGTCAGGACCATGCCATCATTCACATGAGCTGCAGGAACCTCTCCATTTTTAAATGTTGTGGCCATTTGAGCCAGGTGAGCTTGGTTAAGCCATTTAAAGAACTACATTTCTGGGCCGGCCCGGTGGCGCACTGGAGAGTGCGCCGCTTAGGAGTGTGGCGGCACTCCCGCCGAGGGTTCAGATCCCATGTGGAGACCGGTTCCCACTCACTGGCTGAGCGCGGTGCGGGTGCGACACCAAGGGTTGCGATCCCATTGCCAGTCCCCGGTGCGGGCGCGACACTGAGGGTTGCGATCCCGTTGCCGGTCAGTAAAAAAGACAAAAAGGAAAAAAAAAAAAAGAACTACATTTCCTAGAAGCCCCTTCCCTGAATGGCTTCTGTCTAAATTTGGCCAAAGGAGGAACTCCATGCCATCTGGAATGCACACCTGAAGCAGTGGACTTTACTTTCCAAAGGCCTTTTTCTCGACATCAGTGGCAGAATCAACACAGAAGTGCCTGTGGGTGCCAGCCCATCTTCACTCACCTCCACTCCACGTCCAGCTCTTCCTTCCAACTGTGCTGTCCTATGACAGGGCTTGGCTGTGGACCCATGAGGAGGCAGCTGCATGGGGCAACCTCAGACCTCCCATGAAGGCCCTCCGAATCACCCTGTGGCAGCTGGTCATGCATGGCCACTCACTGAATGACAGATGTGCCTCCTCAGATCCCCAAGTCCCTGTTTACACCTTCACTGCCATAGCTGCTCCACAAATGTATAACATCTAATTCCATATCCCTTCTCTCTTAGCACTCACAATGACTGTCCCCTGATCAAGCTTTTAAAAACTTTAGATATAACTCACATATCATAGAATTGACTCTTGATATGTATTATTCAGTGGCATTTAGTACACTCACAAAGTTGTGCCACCATCACCAAATCTACTTCCAGAACATTTTTATCACCCTCAAAAGAAACACTGTACTCATCAATAGTCACTATTCATTTCCCCCACCAGTCCTTGGCAATCACTAATCTGCTTTCTGTCTCCAAGGATTCTGGACATTTGATATAAATGGAATCATACAAAATACAGCCTTTTGTGTCTGGCTTCTTTTACTTAGCACAATATTTTTAGGGTACCTCCATGTGTAGCATATATCAGTATTTCATTCCTTTTCATGGCTGAATAATATTCCATTGTGTGGAATACCACATTTTATTTATCTACTCATCCATGATGGAAATTTGGATGATTCCCATTTACCTTTTTGGTTACTATGAATAATGCTCTTATAAATGTTCATATGCAAGTTTTTGTGTGAACTCTGATTGAACCCTGATACAAAAATGAGTATCAACAAATGGGGTGCTGCTGTCTTAAAAAGCAAAACACGTAATACTGTCTTTTGGATTAGGCAGCAGGCAAGATTTATAACAGCTGTGAGGGGCTGGAGAGATGGTGAACTGAGTGGAGCCTGGAAAGGAGGGAAGAAATTGTCATCAGAGGCTGGATGAAGAGCAAGTCATGTTTGTAGTCATGAAACTGGCAAAAATGGCACCTACAGAGTAACTTGGAAGATAGAAAGTGTACCTAATGAACAAGTGCAGGTGGCTAAGAAGATTTCTAGGCATGATGCTGAAAGTGCCAACTGACTTTTTTTTTTTTTTCTTTTTTGTCTTTTTTTTACTGACCGGTAACAGGATCGCAACCCTCGGTGTTGCGCCCACACCGCGCTCAGCCAGTGAGCGGGAACCAGTCTCCACATGGGATCCGAACCCTCAGCGGGAGCGCCGCCGCGCTCCCAACCAGTGCGCCACCGGGCCAGCCCCCAACTGACTTATTTTAACTGAGTATGATAAGGTACAGGAAAAGAGAGATGGGCTAAAGAGAGAACTGTTCTGTTTGCAAGTAAAATTTAGAGGAAATATAGAAGAACCTGAACTTGCTGGATTGGAAAATAAAATAATTTCATGTCTCTAGTTTCTCTTATTGGCAATGAAAAAATACCTCTGGGCCCCACATTTCTCCGGGCAGAAAGCAGGCTGAGGAAGCTAATCAGTTGCAAATATAGGCTATTTCTCACATAAAAGGAAGATGCTCTCAGAGGGCAGAGCCAAGAACCACACAGGATAAAGGATTGGGGGATCACTCCCAGGAAACAGGGCTAGGTCCTAATCGAGTAATATTTCCTTTCCCCAGGTTAGAGGGCACTGACCACGTGCTGAGGTGGGTCTTACAACTGCTAAGGACGAGTGACTGTATGTGCCTCCATCCCTCCCCTGATTGAATGAAAAGGTTTATTACAGTCACTTTCTTCTGGGGGCAGGTGACATTTTTTCATTCACAAATCTTTGGATCAAGAGGAAAGAGGAACTGTGCCTGCAAAAGCCATCTCTGTCCAGACCTGATGCAGATCGTGGCTTTGGCACCCGATGGAGTTTGGATGTGTTGTCTCCTCCAAAACTCATGCGGAAATTGGATCCCCAATGTGGCAGTGTTGGTAACTGATTGAGTCATGGGGGCGGATCCCTCATGGATGGATTAATGCTCTCCCTGGGGGCAGAGGGGTAGTGAGTGAGTTCTCACTCTGTTAGTTCCCGCAAGAACTCGTTGCTTAAAAAATCCCTGGCACCTTCTCTCTCTCTCTCTCTCTTGCTTCCTCTCACCATGTGATCCTCTTGTACCCACCAGCTCCCTGCCACTTTCCTCCATGAGCAGAAGCAGCCTGAGGCCCATGCCAGATGCAGCTGTCCCAGAATCGTAAGCCAAATAAACCTCTCTTCTTTATAAATTACCCAGTCTCAGGTAGTTCTGTTATAGCAACACAAAACGGACTAAAACAGCACCTGATGCTGATTGGATGAGATTCTGTGAGTCTTGGGAGGAGTAAGTAAAGCAGGATGTGAATAACTGGGGCTTGAGTGCAGGCAGTGTAGACAATGGCCCTCAATGGATCATGCCTCCCAGTGTTCTGCGCTAGTATGGTTCTCTCCCATGTTTTTGTCCAGTAAAATAATAACAAACTCGATGCATGCTGGAGCCTGAGATATGCCTGTGCACTGGGGTTTGCTCTCGTGGAACCCAGTGCAACGAAACAAGTCTGGGATATCCTGCTGGAGAAGCTTCAAGGGAAGACTAAGGTGCCCTGGGTGACGGCTCAGCTAAACGCCAGACATGAGGGAGGCATTTGGACAATTGGGCCTCAGTCCATTCTCAGATGATGGCAGCTGCATAAGTAACTCCAGGCAAGACCAGCAGAAGAAACACCCAGGTGAACCCAGCTCATGAGGTATAATGTGAGCAAATACATGGTTACTACAAGCCACTCAGTTTGGGGGTAGTTCACTTCACAGCAGCAGAAAACTGATACACCTGCATGCTGGATACCAACAACATACTTTCAACTATGTATCATATGCAGCTACATACCAGACTCATCACTCTGCCTCAAAACATTCTTCATTACAACCACGTTCCTCAGAACCACATACAACAAACTACTGCTCAGATCCAAGAGCTACTCTAGGTTGACTAAGTTCTCTTTCTTGTTTCTTTAAAATTTCTGTTGGTCTCCTTCTGCGCATTCATTAAACCTGACAAAGGTTTTGTCACTGACTTGGTCACAACGTTCAGTAACGACTTTCTAAATTCAAGTCTTAATGGCCATAGTAGACACTGTGCTTCATCCTGTAGTTCTGTCCTTCAGAACTGATAGGAATGCTGCTGGCTCTGCAAACTGCGTTGGACTCAAGAGAGAGAGGCACCGTGCTGCCTTCCTGCAGAGCAGGCTACATCCAATGACTGGCTGATGAAAGAGTACAAAGGTCCTACTCTCTCATCCTAACAGGGCACAGTGCTGAGGGGCCACCCCAGCTGCAGAGCATCTGCAGTGCTGGCTCAGGCCTTGTGGTGGTGACTGCATCACAGCCCAACCTCTCCCTCTGCTCAATCTTCTCTCCTTTGCCCCCCAGGATCTCCTGGAGAAGCTCTGAGAGAGGTGCTGACTTGAAAAGTTCCACCCTACGTAGCAGGTGAATCTCCATCTCAGACTTGGCTGCGTCACCAGCGTCAGGGCCTTTTACGAGCCTTCGCTCTCTTGTACTGCCCCTCTGGTTTCAATACTCCTGCTCTGCGTGCCTTCCTTGACTTCAAAGACATCATACTGCCTTGGTGGTTCTCCTGTCTTCTTGATCTGATTCTTACTCTTTCCTCCCTGGTGTGTGTATATTCCAAAGTCAGTCCTCAGTTCTGTGCTATGCTTTCACCCTTGGAGAGAAGATCTATTATCAAAGCTTTAACCTCTGCAGAAATGATCATCAAATTTCATCTCCAACCCCAATTTCCTTTCTGAGGTCAGTTCCACCTGCCTCCAGGACATTTTCATTTCGATGTATCACCATCACTACAAAAATTTTTAAATATATTTAAAAGCAAACTCAGCATCTTTTCCCCTAATCAGCACCCTCCTCTGGACATGCAAATGGCACCACTCTCCCGCCAGTATATTTGGAACACTTGGAGTCATTTTTCAACCAGGGTTTTCAACTCTTTCTTCATCTTAACACACGAGGGATATAATACCTTTGCACTAGTAACAGCAGTTCGGCTCAGCAGTGAGTCTCAATGGTACAGAAATCAGAGCGCGAGGAGGGACTGGAAATTTAGTTTAATAAACACAATGACTCTTATGTACACCTCTCCTCCCAGCACTTTCTTGCTTCTGTGCTGTTGTTTGTTCTATTAGTCTCCTGCAAATACCCCTTTCTCTCTTGTCTATATTCTGACCTTCAAGATCCAACTTCTCTATGAAATTTTTCCTGAAAGCCCCAAATTAAAATGTTATTTGCTTTCTCTGAATTTCTGAAGCACTTACTACTTACATTAATTTATTGTTCTCTACTTTGAACCTTTGAACCAAATCAAGAAATCTCACTTTAAGGGAGCTTTTAGACCTTTGGTATTTCCAGTTGTCACACTGTGGCTAATGTCTGGAATCCTGCTCACAGTGCCAACTGTAGAGCCACTTATCCTGTTTGTGACACCAATTGTAAAGCTAGGTGACCACACTAGTTGTCGGGCTCTTTTACCTGCCAGTAATCCTGCTGACTGGGCCAACTGTTAAGCTAGGGCTAAGGCTAATGTCCAGACTGGGTCACAAACCCTTCATATGCCAGGCTGGGTCACTAGACCCCACACACGCCAGGCTGGGTCACCAGACCCCTTCATGCAGGTCTATCAGCTAGGTAACTGGCCAAAAGGTCCTTGAAGCCATAGGTTGGAAAGCATGGCCATGCCAGGTGGACACGAGAGGCAGACGCCTGCCCGCCTGCTCCACTAAACCTCCTCTCTTCTCTCTCTACTCTCTCTCTCTCTCTCTCTCTCTCAAGAACACAAGAATAGCAACAAAACTAAAAAGATACATTGGCATGCATGTGCACTAACTCTGCGTGTGCGCGCGCGCGCACACACACACACACACACACATATATACAATTTGCTTACAAAGAATGCTGAACCAGACCCAACTAGAGCCAAGGCGAGGGCCCTGACCAAACCATTCTATTTTCCCAACACCAGTGATTGGCATCCAGTAGATGCTCAGTGAATGCTTACTATAGATGATACTTTGTAACATTATATGGGTCATTTAACCTAAGACGCCACTTTCTTTATTACTAATACATCTCTAGTTCATCTCCCAGCTGCGCACTCCACGATTCTGTGATGGGCGCCTGCCGCCACAGTTTTTCCCCCTCCCTTCTCCTTCAGGGATGGTCTTCTCTCTCATGTCTGCAAACTCTGGCCCGGCCCTGCTCACCTTTCATGATCAGATACTCTATGCCCCATTCCTTTTACATTCTCTACCAGTCTTCCTGGGGCCTCTCCTTACCCATGATCCAGAGGCAGAAATTCAGTAATATAAAAATACAAGATCAACTCTTAGTTGTAAAAAACAAAACTTACCAAATAATACAGGAATGAGAGGTTGGTTGCAGCTGCACTTTTCACTCTACTGTCCTTCTTTTCAAACATTTTTAAGGTCTCTACAGCCTAGAAATGGGACATCTGAAAGTTACTGACATTATAATATGGCAACACTTGACCTTACGATTGTGGAAAAGATGAGTGTGTCTGGAAGGTAAGACATGGGAAGGGCACAAGAGGAGTGGATTAATATGTCAAAGAAAACAGATGACGAGATGAGAATTTCATTTAAGAACTAGAATTTATGAAAAAGAATAAAATGCACATTCTGGAACTAAAAATACAGTACCTGAAATTAAAAACACATAGATGGGTTTAACAGCAGATTAAATACAGCTGAAGAGAGGACTGGTGACTGGAAGAAAGGTCAGTAGTAAATATTGAGCCTTGTGAGTCATGTGAAGCAGTTTAGTGTTTATCCTGTATAATGGAGGAAGGGGTGAAGGCTTGAAAGATTTTACCTAAGAGACATGATCAACTTTATTCTTTACAAAATAATTCTGGGATTTCTACTTATGGCTATAACAGACCCTTTCATAGAAGGCCATTTTCCTCCAGAAAGCTAGGAAAGTTATGTAAAATACTAAAAATATTTTTTGGAGGCCCTGGAGAGCTACTAAGGCAACCAGGACTTGAAGGCTAAGATCTCAGAAAACATTCAGACTAAATAAGGCACAAAGAAAAGGCTAAAAAAAGGTTCTTAGAAAAAAATATAAGAGACATATGGGGAACACAGTGAACGATTCTAAAATAAATGTAACCAGAGTTCCAGAAGGGGAAGAAAGACAATTCTCCAAAACCAATAACAGAAAATAATTCTAGGAGTATTACTACAAAAAATGATCTGATTACATTTTCAAGTCATGGGAAATTAAAGTACATTTTTAAACCACCTAGCAGGTCTGAGATAATCCTAACCAAATAAGATATGTAAAATGGTCAGACACTTTGCATGGTCATGGAACTCAACTTAGAAATTATTGCAGAATATCAGGAAGGAAAAAAAGGTAGAGAAAGGCAATGGGTTCTCCTTCCTCCCTTCTTTTAAAATACGCTTACTGAATAAAAAATACTCAACCTCTTGGTGACTCCTGCTCCTGTGGAGTTGTTGTGTCCAAGCAAAAACTTTGCCTTAACTTTTACGATGGTTGTCAGCTACAGCCATTGCAAATACCTGCCGAATTCTGAGATGTGTGATATTCAATGTCTGACCTCAAATAAGGCACCTCGAATGAATTACCAGTAAGCATGTTGATTCAATTTTTTTGATGGTCAGAAGGACTTTTAAATACTAGATTCTATATACCTTAGTTACAATGAGTAAATTCATATTCTTTTAAAGGGCTTTTGATGACTTTAAAGAAAAGCACTGAAAGTTTCTAGGCTAGTAATTTATAATTCCACAAAGTAAACACTGGAAAAGAAAAGCCCAAACATCATATCCCCACTTTTAAGATTCTTTTTCTTACTTTCTTGGAAGGATTTTATAAAACTATCAAGGAATTTGTAAAACTTACCTCGAAAATTATTGTGGCTAATATCACTCATCCTATAGAAATGATCTCATTGAATCTTCTTTTTCCTCTCTCCCCATCCCATCATCAATTCTTTACAAAACCTCCACAGCTATTAACATAAAAGCCAGTGCTGTTTTGAATCTCTAAGTTTTATAAGCTGCGTTTCACTTTGAATAAGAATTGAGATGTTTTAATCTTTACTTTTAGATTATGTCACAATAAATGTATGTGTTGCTTCAAAACATAAGGCACTTGAATAGTTATAATTCATACATATCCATTAAACTCTCTGCGGTAAAGTGTAGAGGGAAAAAAAGCTGTTCTGTAACATATACAACATACATAAAACAGAATACAAAAAGAAAACAAGCAACAATAATACTTTTAAAAAGAAATGCTAGAGTGGTTTATTCCTGCTTTTAGAAGTAGCCATTCAAATTATATTCAAGGAAATGTGTTGAATTTTAAAATTTTGAAATTTACTACTTTGTAGCTCATTAATAACAATACTTTAAGGCTACATTTAACACCAAATCTATTTTCTCCCAAAATGGTTACTACAAATCCAAATAATACATAAAAAGCAAGGTAATCCAAAGCTATTACATAAGAGAATTAACAAAGCTATTTAGAACTTAAAACATCCACTTAAAAACATTTGATGGTAAACATATATCGTATTTTAAGTTTCTAAACTATGAACAATTCTACAAAGGCTATAAAATTATTCTAATAAAAGGAACACTCTCAGGTATTTTCTGGCTCAGATTTTTGTTTTCAAAATAGGTTATTTTCATAGTTGTTCTTTACATGTGCATGAGTATACAGCCAACATTTCTGTTTTTAAAAGTTATAATTTATGACTTTTAATATTTAAAAAATATTATAATTTATTTAGAAATAAAAATGATTAAGGTGTATTTAAGGTCAAAATTAAATTTAATTGTAAAGGGCAAAACAAATAATGAAAATAAACATTGTTTTTTCCCCCGAAAAGCAGTTAGGAAACTAGATCTACTTCCGTCCTGGTCTTCCCTGCCGGCTGGTGCCACCTAGCTCCTGGCCGTGACACCCCACTGAGTCTGTCCCTGCACCATCACCGGCCTCCAGAACAACTACTTCATTCTATTCACCTTTGGCTTTTTGGCAGAGTTTTTTCTCTACTACAAAAATGGCTACAAACACCACCACTATCACAAAGACCTAAATACTCTACAATTTCAGTATCTTTTCTTAAAAAAAAGTATTTAGAGCTAACTCTAGAGTTATATCCTTATAGAAGAAGGCATAAATTTTTCTTTTTACTTTGAATTGTAAATAGTCTTACTTAAATGATCATTATGAAATATGTCAACCCAATTCTTTTCAATCTAATAGTGTTCCTTTCAAACTAAGGTTGTATTATACCCACCTCGTCATACTTACAATATGCAAACAAAAGAAATACAAAGTGAAAGCAGCAGTGTTGAAAAGAAAGCAGAAATGGCATTTTAAAATTATCGGTAAACTAACTGATATTAAAAACTTGAAAATGCAAATGGAACAAAAGATATGTTGAATGACATTACCTAAGAAAGCAACAGACAGCAGATCTGGGTTACATGAATTTTAATATGAAACAATTAGAGTGTTTATTCTTTAATGGATGCAGTTTTAACACATGAACTATGGCAATGCATTGTTAACTCTTTCTAAAAAGACCCTTTAAAAATAAAATGTCAAGAAAAACTGGCAAACATGGTTTACTCCATTTTGTCATCTATGACAGTTCATCTCACAAACAAGATTTTTTTTTTTTTTTTTTGGTTCTTAGCTCACTTCAGCAAGATAATAAAGACCAATTTGTCTTACTTCACTTCCACTGAAAGATCATCACAACAGCCTTAGAGAGTTATCAGTGGCATTTTTAATGACCATGGGTGCGATGATGAAATGACAGAACAGACGTAAGGATACTTTGAAATCTTTTTAGTGCTTTGTAAATGCTAAAACATTAAGTGTAGTAAATTAACATCCGCAACAGAACCACCCCATGGCACGGCGTTGTACTAACCATCTAATTATCACGCGAGTGCTGGGGGCTGCTTTATTCTACTCTCACATTCTCCGCGTAGAAGATGTTCTCCCTCCTCTTCTGGAAAGGGGTTAGTCCTTTTTGTTGTCTCCCATACAAGAGAAAGGTCCTTAAATAGGACGAAAAACTGAAAGCACAGGCTTGGGACAGGCTGTGGGAAGGATGAGGTAGCTTTCCCTAGCCCTTCCTCTATGGGTGGAAGCTGGAGCAACTGAGCTTTCTAGTTCCTGGCACACAGACACGAATTGGTTTTACAAACTAAGATAAAAAGTTTCACTCTGTTTACTTTCTTCATTATCCCCTTTTTCTTAAAGCCATCTAAGCCTTGTGGTCTTGTCTTAGCTCTGTCCCATCTGAGAGACTGCTGCAGGGGAAGGGCCCGCTCCCTTCCACCAAAGGCAGCAGCAGTGCCAGTGACAGACAGATCCGCACAGTTCCAAACCGTGTCAAGCAGCAGGACCCTTTGGTTTCCAATGCAGTGTCAGTGAGTAAACCAAGCATATAAAACAGACAACAGGAAAGCTGCTCTGGTGAGGGCAGTGATGGAAGAGCATCACGCTGCTGCTGTTGGGGCTCCTGGCCTTCCCTGCTCCCTAGGCACGATCTCTGACTCTGAAAACCTTAGTGCTTTAGGAACACTTTGAAAACCTCTAGGGAAAAGTTAATCTCTGGGCTAGAGTATCGGTTGGTAACTTAGCAACCATGCTTTACAAAGAAAGGTTTTACATTTTAAGAAACAGAACAAACAAGTAAAAATTAATAAAAGTTTAAAACTATATTAATGGGGCCGGCCCGGTGGCGCACTGCTACAGTGTGCCGCTTGGGAGCATGGTGGCGCTCCCGCCGAGGGTTCGGATCCCACATACAGACCGGTTCCCGCTCACTGGCTGAGCGAGGTGCGGGCGCAGCACCGAGGTTTGCGATCCCGTTGCCGGTCCCGGTCCGGTACGGGCGCGACACTGAGGGTTGCGATCCATTGCCGGACACGAAAAAAGACAAAAAAAGGAAAAAAAAACAGCAACAAAAAAACTATATTAATGAAAATTATGTTAAAATAGAAATAAAAATGTTACTCAACTTCAGAATAATCACAGGTAATATTATTCTAGAAAGGAGCTTCCCTGTTTTTATTGTTTTGACCAATTCACATATAAAATTCCATCTAAAATTTTTTTAAAAACTTACTTGGTTAAAGTCCTTTTGTCTCAAGTATGTAATTGCTTTGTTTATTTCCAGATCATTGGCTAGCTCTACATATTGAGAAGCTTTCACCACTTCCACACACCTATGAGGTAAAGCAAAAAAAAAGATTAGCTGATTTCGTTTTAGTATATATATACATGTTGTTTTTCATAAAAGTGATTTTTCAAAGATTTTTAAAAAGTGTTCCTAGGGGCCGGCCCGGTGGCACATTCTTGCTTGGGAGTGCGGCGGCGCTCCCGCCGAGGGTTCGGATCCCATGTGGAGACCGGTTCCCGCTCACTGGCTGAGCGTGGTGCGGGCTCAACACCGGGAGTTGCAATCCCATTGCCGGTCCCCGGTACGGGCGCGACACCGAGGGTTGCGATCCCGTTACCGGTCAGTAAAAAAAACAAAAAGGAAAAAAAAAAAAAGTGTTCCTAGTGCTGTGCAAGGTTAAGCACTTAATTTCCTCCGACACAGGCTTTAAGTTTTTGAAGTTTCAGCTCTACGTGAATTTTTTTATCCAATTTCTCATTAGGCTATTGTCGCTTCTAATTATTTATGGTATTTTAAATAAAAATTGGATTGCTTTCCACATTCTCATCTTTCAATTTACTAAAACAATTTCACTTTATAACAGGTAAAATTGTTTCCATATTTTTTTGTCTTAAATGCTCTATGGTGAGAAAAATTCTATAGAACTTGTAGAATACATTTAATTTTTTGTGTCCCAGCTTGTACAGACAATTATAGATTTGTTTCCCAAAGCACAGAACATTTACTATATACCAGGCACTGTGTTAATTCCTTTAGAAGCATTATCACATTTAATAGTCACAACAACCCTGAAAGATAGGATTATCTTTATTTTGCCTGTTGGAAAATGGACGATCTGAGATCATACAGGTAGAAATTGTCAAGAATTTGAACTGCCAAGACTAGCATTTTTCAAATTGAGTTATTAAAATCAATTTAATGGGTTATGACTCTATTAAAAAATACAGCAGGTGGAGAGTGGGGGACTGGGGAGATGTTGGTCAAAGGAAATGAAATTTCCGTTAGAACAAATAAGTTCAAGAGACCTATTGTACATCATGGTGATTATAGTTAATAACAATACATTGTATACTTGAAAATTGCCAAGAGACTACAGATTGTAAGTATTCTCAAATATATGAGGAAATGCATTGGTAAATAGCTTGATTTAGCTCTCTGTTCTGCCATTTTCTGCCATGTGAGATCTCAGCATTGCTGTAAAGCTACCACCAAGGAAGACCCTCACCAGATGTGTTCCCTGGACTTTGGACTTCCCAGCCTCTGAAACTGCTGCCGGATTGGAAGCTGGAGGGAGAGTCAGATCATGGCAGAAGAAGGAGGGAAGCAAACGTGGAAACAGATTCTGGATTGAAAGTCCAAACAAGAAGCACGACAAGTCCTTAAACAGGGAGCTCAACCACAAAGTCAAAAGCATCAGGACTGGAAATCCTTAGGGATTTTTTTTTTTTAATTAACTAAAATCTATATTTTGCTCGGATTTCCTTGTTTTTTACCTAGCATATTTTTCCATGCCGGGATTCCACCCAGAATACCATGTGACACTTAGTCATCATGTCTCCTTGGACTCCGCTTGGCTATGACAGTTTTTGATGATGACCTTGACAGTTTTGAGGGATATGGGTCAGGTATTTTGTAGAATGTCTCTCAACTGGGATTTTTCTAATGTTTTTCTGATGATTAGTGCTATGAATGTTTGTGTACCCCCAAAATTCATACGTTGAAACTTAATCCCCAGTGTGATGGTATTGAGTGGTGGGGCCTTTTGGGGGTTCCATCCTCACGAATGGGATTAGTGACCTTATAAAAGAAGCTGAAGGAAATATGTTCACCCCTTTCATCATGTGAGGACACACAGAAGGTGTCATCTATGAACCACAATGCCAGTGCTCCTCAGCCCTCACTGAATCTGCTGCCACCTTGGCCTTGGACTTCCCAGCTTCCAGAACTGTGAACAATAAGTTTCTGTGGTTTATAAATTACCTAGTCTAAGGTATTTTGTTACAGCTGCCCAAACAGACTGAGACAATTAGACTGGGGTTATGAGTTTGGGGAGGAAGATCAGAGAAGTAAATCATCATTTTACCACTTTATATCAAGGGCACGACTCTAACGATGAGTCGGCCCTGTTGATGCTAACCTTGGCCACCTGGTTGAGGTACTACCTGTTGTTTCCCCACTGTAAAGTTACTCCACTCCCCTCCCTTCCCATATGGTACCCTTTGGAAGGAAGTCACTATGCACAGCCCACACTTATAGGATATGGAGTTACACACACTTCCTTGAGAGCAGGGTATGATATTATTTTTACAATTAGAAAAAAATATTTGCACATTGAAAGATTAAGAGGATCACATGCCAGTGGAGCAAAAATCAGAACGTCTTGTGTGTCCCAGCTAGAACTGGAGGTGTGGAAGGGGTCAGCTACCCAGCTATACAGAGGCAGAAACAAAATCTGAGTGTTCAAGTCCAAGGGTCAACCTGGCTTCAGAAGCCAAAGACACCAAAAAAACAAAACCAAAAATCTGGGCACAGAAGCTAGGCAAAGGTTCAGCCAGTTGGAATACTTCCCCCAGGCACTGGTTTTTATTCTCTCCAGCATCTCTTTTGAACACTCGGCTCTTCCCCCTCGGGTGGTCTTTGTTTGTGGGGCCTGGGGCAAATGTGTGGCCTCCTATATCATTTGAGTCCTCTTTGTTTATTCAGCATACCCACCATCCACCAGGCAATGTTCCAGGAGCTAGGCATAGAGAAATGAGACATCCATGCTAGTGGGGAAGACAGATGGCATGCAGAAAGACAAACAACATCATTTGGGTTGACAGGCCTACAAAAAGAATGAAATATAGTTATGGGCTAGAAAGTGATTTATTGGGGGCTCCCTCAGATAGCAGGGTCAAGGAACACCTCTCTGAGAAAGCAGCATTTGAGCTGACAATGAATGGCACGTAGGAGTTGGCCTGGGGGGATGGAAGGAAAGATTGCTACAGGCAGATGGAACAGCACGTGCAGAAGCCCTGAGATAGGAACAAGCTTCATGTTCAAGAACAAAGAGAAGGCTGATGCGGGTGGGTCAAAATGAGAAAGAGAGGAGTGTTATGAGATGGAGAGACAGGAAAGGATGATACAAGACCTACAAGCTGTGGTGAAAAGTTTGGATTCTCGTCCCAGTGGTCAGCTACGTACGGAAGGACTTTAAGTGGCGGAGAGATTTGACTGGACTGTAAAAGTCAGTGTGTCTCCCATGACAGAGTGCACTGTTAGGGAAGACCAGCCTCCTGCTGTTGCCTCAAGAGAATTGTAGAGGTGTTCCATGCGTAATAACACGCGCAAAGTGCTTAGTTCAGGGCCTGGAACATAGCAAGTATGCAATAAATGCAATAAAAGAAATGCAATAAGAGCAATAAATAAATGCACTACTGCGGTTGCACACACACACACACACACACACACACACAAAGCTTGATGTAGCCATTCCACAGTGTATACATATATCAAACACCATGTTGTACATAATAAATATACAACTTTTACTTGTTGCTTAAAAGAACAGAATAGAGAACATATCAGATATATCAGGAGGCATTGCACATAATCAGGGAAAGGATTAGTCATGAAACTTGTTTCAATAAACAATGTAAAATATATTTCTTACTGAAGGATGGGTTCATTGGCCTAGACCAATAAATAATTTAAAAATAAATAATAAATAATAAATAATTTAAAGTAGAAGATCCTCTTCTTCAAGCAGAATGTTTTTTTGAAAACCCAATATATTAAAGAGCCCCTCTGCTTGAAGTGGGAAGGACTTGAACCCCAGCCCACCCTAGCAAAGTAACCTGGAGACACAGCTAATGCAGCTTCTTGGGTTCCAGGCTCTCAGCAAACATTTACTGAATGTCTACTATGTATCAGACATTGTGTTGGTACAGGGGCTACAAGACATGGTTCATGCCCTTATGCGGAAAGCAGACCAGCAAATCAAGTCTGCACAAAACTATTGTAAAGAAATCCAATGCAGAGGTGAAGACTAAACCAGACTCAGGAATGGTATTCCAGAGACAGGTGAACTCAGTTTGAAGAACTAGTATGAACTGATTTGACAAAAAGGGGAAGGAAGTACATTCCAGTAAGAACATCCAAAGATGTGGAAGATCAGAAATGGATTCATTCACAACTGAAGAAAAGGATGCTCATGAGCAAGTGGAAAGAAACAAGGTCTGAGAAGTTGGCAGAAACCACACATGCACAGCCTTTTACAGCGAGCTAGGGAATATGCACCACACCCTCAAAATCCCAGGCAGCCACTGGATTTAAAGCAAGTGAGTGATGGCACAAATTCTAGAATTAGAAAAATCACTTTGATAGCAGTGATAGAGAACACGCAGGAGACAGAAAGAAAAGATAGGAGGCTACTGTCACACTGCAGCTGAAAAAGAATGCAAGCTTGAACTAATACAGTAAGTAGCCTAGACAGCAGGAGGTCATTTGGTGAGACACTAAGAAGCCAGAACTCATGAGAGGCAGATGCTGATCAGATATAAGTGGTGAGGGCCGGCCCGGTGGCGCACTGGAGAGTGCGCCGCTTGGGAGTGCGGCGGCGCTCCCGCCGAGGGTTCGGATCCCATGTGGAGACCGGTTCCCGCTCACTGGCTGAGCGAGACAGAAAGAAAAGATAGGAGGCTACTGTCACACTGCAGCTGAAAAAGAATGCAAGCTTGAACTAATACAGTAAGTAGCCTAGACAGCAGGAGGTCATTTGGTGAGACACTAAGAAGCCAGAACTCATGAGAGGCAGATGCTGATCAGATATAAGTGGTGAGGGCCGGCCCGGTGGCGCACTGGAGAGTGCGCCGCTTGGGAGTGCGGCGGCGCTCCCGCCGAGGGTTCGGATCCCATGTGGAGACTGGTTCCCGCTCGCTGGCTGAGCGCAGTGCGGGCGCGACACCAAGGGTTGCGATCCCGTTGCCGGTCAGTAAAAAAAGACAAAAAAAGGAAAAAAAAAAAAAGATGTAAGTGGTGAAATGCAGAACAAAGAGAAGTATAAAG